GCCCTCGTGCCACATCATTACCACTTTTATTGCCATCCTGTGTGTCTGCGTGTTTCCTGTATCGACGGATCAAACGATATATCAATGACACACACAAGAGCCCCGTACACTCGAATGTGTAAGCCCCACCTCTGCCGATTCAACAGTTCAGTTATCCACAAAAATATTTCTAAGAACTATTGCCCGGCCGGATTGTATTCACTTTTTCTCACACAAAACTCACAATCGGTCGCCATCTTCGTTGGTTGGCTTTTTGTCTGCGCTTCATTTCACTCCTTTGTTAACATGATTCGATTTTTATTGCAACTGCTGAAGGATTTGCTCCATTTACCCCCAATGCCTTCGCACCCACCTCCTCCAGACGCCGGAAAGTGCTGTCGTCTTCATTTGGCTGGCAACTTAATTCATTTGATGCATTATTTAAATTGCAGTTCCAGCAAAAGACCCACAAAGCTTACAACTCATTTAATTTGTTCGTGTAAGCTTATTGGTTCTGTAGATTTTCCAAGTTAAGCAAGGAATAGTGGTGTTTAATTTCAGACAGTTTGGGGGGCATACATCTACATTTTTATTCTGATGGGCCTTAGCTTTTAAAAAATTTGTACTTATAAAGAATGCTAATCTGACTTTACGGCGGATACAATCATAACGGTGACGTAATGGTCAAACTCACAAACAGTTTTCACGTTTAAGAAAACTTGTTAAAAATAGGTATTGCTCGATAAAAAATTTTAGTAGTCAATTTGAGTATTACCTCAGTACTCGCACTTAAGCTGGTCAAAGGCAACTGTCCTATTCCCTTATAGTGATATGTATCAGTCACAGTCCTTATAAATCTGAGCTTTTTCCACATTTCTCAGGAAGCTAAATCTGCTTATGAACGAGTTTCCCCGCGACCTTACATATACTGGGTTAAATGCAATTTTATATCAGTAATCCCAGTACTCAAAAAAGCTTTAACATATCGAATTGGTTATAATGCTTTTATGAATCACACGCTTATCAATTCGGTGAAAGCTTCATTACTTTTTTACACAGCAAAATGTTTTATTTATGGAAGACCTGGTACTATTCACTCTCGAGTTACCATTAAAATAAGTACGAAAATTTGGAGGTGCTTTGTGCTATAATATCTTAAATATTTTGATGTCCACGTCCTCGCCAAGCTGTTTCAATGCTTGCTTTTACAGACTAACAACAAGAAGTATTTTAATCAATCACAAAATATTTGCAATACCGGATTTTAAACACATTTTGTAAGAGAACTGTGAGCACTGGGTATTTCGTAGTCGAGTATTGTTTTTTGTTTTACTTCTCGAAAATATTAATGGAAGTTTTGGGACCCATTAAATTTTAAATTGAATGCAATTTTTAAAGCACATGCAACTGATGTGGCACACTCTGTTTAAATTCAACTTTTGTGGCTTCTGCATCGAGAAATGGGTGCATGCCGGACTATATTCGTTTTAATAGTTATATATTTAAATATTGTTGCATGTGAGTCTAAACGGAGAAAGCTTTTGCAAACAATTCCTGTCGACTATTGTGAAGAATATTGTAAGGGCATCTGCATCGATACAATCAGCCAAAAGACGTGCGATAACGAGGATCTTAATTTTATTCTAACCAACGCATATCAATTGATTCTGAACGACGGATATTTAGAGGTAAAATGGAACATTCCCGATGCAAATATCACTGACCTCATCTCAATCAACAAAGAAAGCAATGTGAAGTTAAAAGAATTAATTGTGTCAGATACAAATCCTGGAACACGTGCGGTGGATTACCTTCGACAGCTTGGTGTTGAGAAAGTATCTCGCTTCGAAAAGCAACTAAGCTCTTTTGAAGCAATAGAAAGAAATGTTCATTACTTGCATGGACCAAAATCTATAATATTAAATGTTCGCAATTCAATAAGAATGGATGAAATAATGGACTACATTAAACAGACAATGGATAATATAAATGAGATTATAATAAATGCAAACGACGAGTCTGAAAATCAATATATAAGGATTGGCGACGGTGTTTTTAAAGGAAAGTCTAAAATAACATCACTAACATTTACTGGATTTAAATTGGAAAACTTTACCACTGAAACTTTTGATTTGTTGGTTAATTTACGAAAGCTGGTGCTCTCCAAGTGTACAATAAACAATTTCACATTTTTAAGGTATGTAAAAATTAAGAGTTATACTGAATTGAATACATATAACGAAAATAAGTTTTCTATATGCCAAAGCGTCCATTCTCATAATTATGAGATGCTTATATTAAATTAATGGCGGGAATGCAAATTACTCACCTCAACTAAAAATTTTTTTTCAGCACTCTTCAAAACAGTCTGGAGCACTTGGTACTTGACATTAACGACGAGGTGGATATAAAATACTTTAGAAATTTTCCCAGGCTTAAATTGATAAAAGTCAGATATTACATTCCACATGAAGACTTCACCGGTTTAATATGCAAACAAAATATTTGTAATTTTACTCGTGGTATTAATGGCCTTAAGTGCCCCGAAGTATGCGATTGCCGGTATTATTACGATGAATTGGAACTGACCATAAACTGCAGCAATAGATTTCTTACTGAAATTCCGCCACTACCTATTCCCATTATCGGAGGTGTAAAGTTAATATTCTCCAATAACTCTCTATCCCAGTTACCAAATACATCTTTAGATGGATATAATATGATACAAAAACTTGATGTTTCCAGGAACATTTTATCCAGCTTGAGCATTAATAATCTCCCTAAGAAATTAGACTATCTTGATATTAGCTTTAACGATATAAATGAAATGGACAGAAAAATAATCCATTTTATAAAAAATGTAGCCATATTCAAACAGACCGGCAATCATTGGACTGTCTATTGTAATGATGAACCGCTATTACAATTATTTAAACATCTGAAATCGATCATACGGATGAAAGAGCTTGAACTTCGACCTATATTTAGAAAGTTGTTACCCGACTCGCCTGAAGGGTTTATTAAGTATTTGGGTCAGCATTTTTTAAGGCTTGGCGAAAGAAAGCAAAAGTACTTTATAATTAATGAAGATCAATTGGTGCCAAGTATGATTCAGAAACTAGACGACATGGATAAAATCATGAGCATTTATAATTATATGGAATGGTTGCACAGAAAATTACCATCTGTTAACAAGGAACATGATCTTTTTTATTATCATCATATGACAGCAGCCTGCCCGTATAAATGCGATTGTTGTCATAACCGCACTACCAAAAACATTAATATCGACTGCAGTAATAAGTTTTTAAATAGCTTTCCAAGTTTGGTCCCCAAAAATGTTGCAATGATACCAAAGGAGAATATATCCAACCATTTAGAACTGCACTTATCCAGAAATAATATATCCAAAGTAACCATTGATATGCTCCCGAAGAACCTTAGATATCTGGACCTACGAAACAACAGCTTGGAGAACCTTGATCATGAGGTGATTCAATATCTAAAACGGTTCAAAAAATCCATCGAAATTAAGTTGTCAGGGAATCCATGGAATTGCGACTGTAAATCAAGATCGATCCTCTCTTTTCTGAGGGACAACGAACCGCTTGAATACAATTTCACTCTGAACCGTTGCAATATATCTCGAGCGGATTGTCCCGATGCTTGTGTTTGTTGCTTGGATAACTCAACCTGGTCGTCCTTCATAGTTGATTGCAGAGGAGAAGGACTCTTAAATATGCCCGTTCTGACCAACAAGGTTACCTATGCAGACTTAAGGGACAACAATATAACTGAACTGACCCCAATGAACCGCAATTTTCTCGAGCAAAGGTCGCAATCCTCTCCTTTGCAGCTCCTCATGCTTGACAATCCTTGGTCTTGTTCTTGCAAGGACATGGAAAATATAAATTTCATGAAAAGTATATCTTCGAACATAATCGATTTTACGGAGATAAGCTGCAGCAATGGGGAGAAACTGGTCTCTATAGATCAGGATATTGTATGCCCTTCTGGTTTTGCTTATTATGTGGCTCTCGCAATCTCCCTAGCAGCCGTAATCATTGCCATTAACTTTATGATATGCTTCAGACAGCCGCTTCTGGTGTGGTTCTACGAACACGACGTTTGTTTGAGTCTGGCCGCCAGAAGAGAACTCGATGAGACCAAGAAGTTCGATGCCTTCCTGGCCTTCACCCACAAGGACGAGGCGCTGGTGGAGGAGTTCGTGGAGAAGTTGGAACTGGGCAGACCCAGGTTCCGACTCTGTTTCTACCTACGGGACTGGCTGGCGGGCGAATCCATTCCCGATTGCATCGGCAGGTCTGTCAGGGATTCGCGGCGCATCATCATCCTGATGACCGAACACTTCATGCAGTCTACCTGGGGTCGACTGGAGTTCCGACTCGCCCTGCACGCCACCTCGAAGGATCGGTGCAAGCGCCTGATCGTCGTCCTTTATCCGGATGTAAAGAACTTCGACAGCCTGGATAGCGAGCTGAGGGCCTACATGGTGTTTAATACCTATCTGGAGAGAAGTCACCCGAACTTCTGGAACAACCTGATCTACTCGATGCCTCATACAAAGATGTGATTGTACGCAGTCAGCCTTTCCATATATAAATAAATATTTATACTATTGTGGCTTTTGTTTAATTGAGATGTAGGCAATTATCTTGAAAAACAATGGTTTGACATATTTCCCAGTGATTCAAAATCTTTCAAAGTTTGACAAATGGGACTAGATATTTTGAAACAGCTTATCAGAGCTCCTGAAAAGTTCATTCCAAAATTTTAGCTAAATCAGTACAAGATACACCAGAACCCAGCCCAAAGCTGTTGAACTGACAGCAACAGAGAATACAGAAGGTCGGTTTAGGATTCGAAATTGTTCAGCAACCTAAGAACCCCGCCAACACTATTTGCACATCCTTTCAGCATACAATAGAGAATTTTAGGCGACTTTAGTTAAAGTTACTAGCATTTCCCTCAGAGCTCCCAAATAAGAAAATAAGACTGTATTGCTGTCTCCCACAGTTTAATTTTCGAGATTTACATGGTAGCCTCAAGTAATCCCATGGTCTTCCCGGTCATCTGGCTCAGCAGCAAGGACCGCAACCGCAAAAACTGCTGGTGCCGCCGCAGCAAGGTCCACATCCTCCGCAAGGACCACAGCAGGGGCCACAGCCACCGCAACACGGACCACATCCACCGCAACAAGGTCCACATCCACCACAGCAGGGGCCCTAAAAAAGATGATTATTAATATACTCAAAAATTCACAAGACTTATGGCCGACATACATACCCCTACTAAGACGTAATTTGGGTTGACGTACATGTACATGATTTCGATTTTTGAGTACTTTTACTACCGGAATCCAAAAGAAACTTGAAGCCACCGAAAATTTAGGTGCTTACTATCGAAGATGTAATGAAGTACTGAGGAATATCAGACAAATCAAGCCGAAAGTACTTTTGACAGCAGTCATTTGGAATTTCATGGCTAACGTGCTTACTCAGAATTTACCGTGATCTCCCAAAAAATATTTTTAAATCTAGTTAGCTGTGGAAAATTCTCTTCAGTTGTCAAATTCAAGTCCAAGTCTGAGATTCAGGATCCCATCATTCTTGTTAAACCTTTCGGCCTGTTAACATCCAAAATTTGTTGGTTGTCTTAAGTTATTTCTTTGTTCGGTTTAAAGTAAGTAATGTAAAATCTGAACAAAATAACTTTTCTCAAGACTTTCCTTAGATCTTTACGGACCCATCATGTGTTGTGGACCCCTCGGATTCTGTGGACCCTGTAGCCCTTGCGGCGGTCCCTGCGGACCCTGTGGACCTTGCGGCCCTTGCGGTTCTTGCTGTGGACCCTGTGGATCTTGCTGTGGGCCCTGTGGACCTTGTTGCGGACCATGCGGTCCTTGCTGTGGACCCTGTGGACCTTGCTGTGGGCCTTGTGGACCTTGCTGCGGTCCCTGTGGGCCCTTCTGCGGGTGTTGAACATCCACAACCCTGTGAAATACCAAGTCCTATTAAACCACAATGAGTAACTTAAGACTGTACGCAGAGCAAACTCCTCTCTAGGCGTGAACCAAGTCAATAAAAAATGGAGTGCATTTTGTTAGGAATATTTTATGGGTCTTGGGAATTAAGCCATGCGTTGATCCATTTGATTTCGTGGACAAATACCTCCCCCTCTCAGGTAGAAGGAAAGAACTTTCCTTTTTTTGTTTTGGTTCCTTTTCTCTTCTACTCTGGAGGTCGGTATATTTTTTCCTTTTCACAATTTCGGACGGCTGCCAAAGGATCAAAATCAAGAAAGAACACTAGTCCAGTGCGTCGATTATCAGATACCCCTAACTTAGCTTAATCGAGCGTAAGGGAGATGGAGATATGCGAACAGCAAAGTCACTTTTTCAGAGATTGAAAAGGTTTTTAATGATTGGTCCGACTTGAACAATCAATATTAGTAAACACAAATAGTTATTGAAAAACAAAACAACATTCCGTTTACAACTTTATCTTTAAAAATGTGAGCGTCAGACAGATTTTAGCATTTTTGAGCCAACCTATGGGTATCGATGAAGCCAATACGTTTCTGTTAAAATTTGTATACTAGCATCAAAACTGTGGGCGCTTCAGTTTCTAGGTCAATTGATCGAAATTGATGAGAGGAATCCATTGCATTACAATACAAAATAATAAAGCCCTTTTTTCATTTTTTTCTATTTCTTTAAAATAAATTTGTATATATTTTTGAAAAATCTTGTTATTTTTAAATAAGTATTTGTTTAATATTTTTGTGCTTTTTATTTAGGAAGAAAAAAATAAGCCTTGGGACATTTATATATTTAACAGATTAAACATTTTAAAGTAGTAAAGTAAAGTATAGCAGGCTTTAAAAATTGTATTTTAGCTGTCAAACCCATGAAAGCATATTGGTTCCAGGTTTATTTCATTCTCATTTCGACTGTTCTGTAGCTCACTAAATTTGTTGTTTTGTCTCAAATCATTTTTTGTTCGGCTAGAAAAACGTGGTAAAACTTATATTGTTATAAAAAATCGATTTGATTTAGTTTTGTTGGTTTTTCCTAGACTTGTACGAATTAACCATGTGCTGTGGACCTTGTGGACCGTGCTGCAGACCCTGCGGATATAGGTGTTCACCCTGCGGACCCTGCTGTGGGCCTTGTGGACCATGTTGTAGGCCGCGTGGACCCTGCTGCGGACCCTGTGGACCGTGTTGCGGGCCATTTGGAAGCTGCTGTGGAGGTTGTTGGTGCTAAGTGCCTAGCAACTGCAGCCGAATCGATTCAAGGGCCAATGCTACTTGTATTTCGCACACAACAAGGTTAACGTAACACCTAACACTCAAAGCCACATTTAATAAATAAGGACAAGGCAACAGTAAAAAATATGAAAGGATCGTCTGGTCTTTTTCTTTTGGGTTAATAAATAGCGTGGGTACTGCTGAAGGTTACAAATTGTAGGGTTGTAGAGTACTTTACAGTGAGACCGTTTTAAAGGTAAGAATGGACATGTACTTCCAGGCTATGCAATGAACTAATGACAATGTGGGTCTAGACATTATAAAGTTTATATATGGATCAGCATCATCTAGCCATGTCCGTCCGTCTGTCCTACTGTCGTCCGCCTGTCCGCCCGCCTGTCCGCCCGTCCGTTTCTTACGCGAGTTAGTCTCAGTATTAAAGCTATTGCGATGAAACCTTCCCAAAAGTCTTATTGCTATTGCTGGTAGTATATACTACTGTGGGCAAAAGGAAAGGTGAATTTGTTTTACTCGATTTTCGTGGTATGGTCTGTTAATAAGATATAGTTGAGCGTTACGCATGACTTCCGTGAAGCAATTCGTCTAAAAAGACTAGAATTGTGGGCAACGACTCTTGGTTTTTGCATCACTATAATGCCCCGGGAGTGCAAGGGAGATGGATATATGCAAGCAGCAACGGAACTATTCCGGGATTGCAAAGTGCCACCTAATGGCGATTTCAATATAGGGTCATAACTTTTAAATGAATGGGCCGATTTGAACAATTAATATTATAAAATATAGAGTTGGATAGGTATTGAAAAACAAAACAGAAATTCGTGTAGACGCCACCGTTTTTAGGTCAACTGATCGTACTTGAGGAGAGGAATACATTAAATTACAACATAAACTAATAAAACCTTGTTTTATTCCTTAATTTTTTCTTAAAAAAACATTTTACATACATTATTTAAACATTTATGTTGTTCATTAATTTGGTATTTTTGGTATAATCTTTAACAAGAAAAAATTAATTTACAAGAACATTTAGGTTATTTATACAACGGATTATATATTTTAAATGTATAGCATCAATATTTAAATATATATATTTATAAAGATATTTATATAACGGATTATATATTTTAAATGTATAGCAGGCTTTGAAAATCGTATTTTAGCTGTCAAGCCCATGTAAGCTTATAAGTTCCAGGTTTACATCATTCTCATTTCGACTGTTCTGTAGCACACTAAATTTGTTGTCTTGTCTCAAATCATTTTTTGTTCGGCTAGAAAAACGTGGTAAAACTTATAATGTTGGAAAAAAAACCCAATTGGTTTAGTTTTGTTGGTTTTTCTTAGACTTGTACGAATTAACCATGTGCTGTGCACCTTGTGGATCGTGCTGCGGACCCTGCGGATATAGCTGTGCTCCCTGCGGACCCTGCTGTGGGCCTTGTGGACCATGTTGTAGGCCGTGTGGACCCTGCTGCGGACCCTGTGGACCGTGTTGCGGGCCATTTGGAAGCTGCTGTGGAGGTTGTTGGTGCTAAGTGCCTTGTACCTGCAGCCGAATCGATTCAAGAGGCCAATGCTAATTCCATTTTGCACACACTAAGGTTAATCTAACACCAAACACTCATAGCCACAAATAATATATGACGGCAACGCAACAGTAAAAAATATGAAAAAAAATCGACTGGGTCTATTTCTTTTGGGTGAATAAATAGTGACATGGTCTCAAAGATTGTAGTGACATTAATGTGGATTTTTTAAAGTGGTTAGGATGTCGATCGTGGCCCAGAGTCGGTCAAGATCAGCGATCGACAGCTTTCTATTCTCTGCTCATTCTCTGCCGCCACACGTTAAGCGTGCAACAGAGGAGAGCTGCGCCGTGCAAATCAATCAAAGAAAATGAAATGGTCTAGCCTTAAGAAATATGTTGGTTTGATTTGTTTGCTATTTGTGTTATGAACGATGCTTTGCGATATTTTCACTTTAAACACGTTCAGAAAAACAAACAAATTAGAACGCAGACAGGATCTGATCTGAATGTCCCGAAATTTTACCATGTTAGGTTTGGCGAAGGGATGTGGCAGATGATTATTTCGAAATTGGTTTAAAACTCGAAAATTGTATTATACGAAAGATTTTAGATGCCCTATTCTTTATTAGGGATACCAACTTAACCGATAAATCTGATTTCTGGAGTAAATTGTTGATTTAATGTTATCCGGTATTATTCGAACATCTAGATGGCTGTGCACCTATATTCTACTCACCCAGGCCCGTTTTCCGGTTAGGGATACCAGTTTTCATTTGCCGATCAGCCCAAACACGTCTAAATTTTTACTCTAGTCCAAAGTTTCCAAATTCAGCACTTTGTAAATAACTTTGTATGAAATTAGGTTACTTGAGTAATAACATTTCCTTTGTTGTAGATTCGCATATAGATCATGGGTTGTGCGCCGGGTGGACCTTGTTGCGGACCTTGTGGACCCTGCTGTGGACCTTGTGGCCCTTGCGGACCCTGCTGTGGACCTTGTGGACCGTGTTGCGGACCGTGTGGACCGCGCTGCGGACCTTGTGGACCCTGCGGACCTTGCTGTGGACCGATGGAAAAACGAAACGGCCTTCAGCGATGCTGTCCTTTCTAGCTGTGTTTCCGTGATGTTCAAAAATACGAAACAAATTTGGACTAGAGCTTAAATTAATAACACATTCGAAAGAAATAAAACAGAAAGATGAAAACAGTTATTTAAATACGGTTTTATCTAGTTAGTACAATTTTATTGGTGCTAGTCTTATGGTAGTATAATCAAAGGTTAAACTGCAAATAAAAACTGTGTCAAAAACTTCAAAATATAGATTGCTCACACTTCAAATATAACTCCTCTTTACAAATTACAAGCTGAAGTGAAACACATGGATCCTGCGTATGCTTAACCTTAATACCCAATAATATACATAGTTCATTCCTAGTTTTCTTTTGAGCTACCATTTACTTTCTCGCTGGACGACAAATAAGAAAATGGGAATGAGTAAAGAGAGCTGTAGTATCCTAACGACAATGGTCCAGGTATATGTGTATACACTTACATGAGTTGGATTGCCATGGGGATAAGGGGAGCAGTTAATTTATGCCAACATGCTCAGGTAATTGAGGCATTGCAGCTGCAAAATAAAAGTAGCCCTGGCCTCGAAGCATTTAAATTAGCCGACTAGGGGATTTTAATTAGTGTCAAGTGCCTTGAAATAAATGGTGCCAAAAGGGGCGTGGCCGTGGCCAATCAAAGTGATTTTGCCAGCAATGTTACCCATACGCCCCATGTGGCTGGGCCAAGTCAATTATTAATGGTTGCTCGGCTCGAGTGCAGACTGCTGACATCCCAATTCATGCTGGAAATCAGCAAGCAAATTGTTTATTGTATGCAAGCAATAGAGTGCCAGTGGAATATCTGGGGAGCTGATTTTCATCATTCATTTTGCCAGTAGACTTTTCCACTTTCCACGCTGAATTATGAAGGCAGCCGTTTCAAGTGTGTGAGTGCAGTGCCTCACTCGATGACGCAGTTCAGGGAATTCTCAGATATGGGAGGGACCTTGTGAAGGGCCTTCTGCCATACGGGTGGCAAGCAAATGGATTGCTCATCCTGCAATTCGAGTAGCAGACGAGCAGTAGCAGAATTAGAGCCGCCTGCTGGAAAAGCTGTCAAAACGCTTAATCAGAGCTAGTATTTCAATATGAACAAGTAATTTTAGAACACACATATGCCGCAGCCGGTAATTGCAGTACCCGGGGAATCCAGGCTCAATCACCGCAGAAGTGTTGTAATCAAAGTCGGCGTCCTTGCAGTCACAGAAGTTAATTTTTAATTTTTAGAAGTCGTTTAAAGTCTGGCTAAGGGTGGTTAAGAGAGAAAGTATTTTAAAACATGTCTTCAAATTGTTTTTAAAAATATAAAACCTTTTATATCTTTAACTTACTATACAAAAATGTAGAAAAATAATTTTGTTAAATTTAAATGTTTCAGAAAATCAAAACATACTTTTTTTTAACATTTTTTTTAGTTCTGTAGCTTTTAGAACACAAAAATCGGTGCGTAAATGCACTGTACACAGTATTTAACTTTACTGGTAAGCCGCAAGCTCATATTTGGCGCATTTCAATACTTTTTTTTTTAAGGATGATGTAGGTATTTTAAACATTTTTAAGTTGTCAGTCCGTCGGCAGATCCCAGTTGGCCTTTGGTGGGCAGTAGCATCGGCCCAATCCAAAATTATTTGTTTTTAAAAGCGTTGCAAGGCCCCCAATTGGGCAGACATGTCAGCGACCACCAGCGAAAGAATCGGCAATATAGCTCCGAGGACTTGGAGCAGGCAGAGGCCTTCCCGCGTGGCTGAAACTGCGCTGATTGGCGATGGTCATCACGTGCATCGACACCACCGCAACCGCCCACATCCGCCGCCCACCCAGCGGATGTTGACAGCAGCGGATCAACGGCCTCCAGCACCGACACCCCGGCGGAACATCCTTCGAAAGATGAGCCTGCAACGGAGCCTGGCCTTCTACAACCGGTTAAGGAGCCCCCTCAGAGGGCCTGCATCCGGATTTGGTTACCTCTTTGACTCGGGTTTCAGCATGAGCCGACACTTGAGACGGGATTCCCATCTGCCGATGCCCGGAAACTGGTTTGGGTTCCCCAACGATGGCTATGAGGTGGCCGCAGATCTCCAGGATAGCAGGTTCTTCTCTGATCGACACCACTGGGATCGGGCTCAACTTTATTTCCAGCAGTATCTGGGGCCACGACATCACCATCATCACAGTCCACGATCATTCTCTTTGAAATTGGATCTAAGCCCCTTGAACCTTAAGTTAATTAACAAAATGTTTTACGGAATAGGGCTGACGGAGGCCTTGAGGATAGCCTTTAACGAGGTGCTTCATTTGCACTAGTTTTTGGTTATTTTAGGGACTTCCACGATCGATAATAAAATCTATGGCCAATCTAGACGTGGAACTCCCTCGGTAACGGAAGATTCATGCATATGTAGTTGCCCCATCAGTTGTTCTACTGGGAAACCTTCTGTGGAAAATCTCTCTTTGCCGCAGGTTACTTGTCTTGTCCAAGATCTTCTGCCGCGCAATTCGCCGTTGTTGTGCATTTATGGAAATCGTGTGCCGCTGTGTATGCACCAGTACAAAGGGTGTGTTTCCAGTGCAGTGGGGAACTCCAGGGCCAGAGTTATGTTAACGAGGCGAATTTCAAATGCACTCCCTAATTTTATAATTTTGATATAATATCGATTTTCAGAATATTCAAATCAAAAGTAACTAATGGGACTTTATAGGGTTTCGTTTAATATGTTTTACTTTATTTTAAATTAGTTAAGATGCTAAAACAATGTTTGTCAATCAACAAAAATACATCGAAATGTCTTATGGCTCTTGATTTTTGATTTCAGATAGTTTCACCATTTCTATTCCATTTCTTAGAAATGTTTTCCTTATTGTGTTTTAATGTAGTAGTTATGACAAGTAAGTTTAAAATTAACTATGATGTTACTTAAAATTATATTTGTCGATAATAAAAAACTAAAATGATATGATATAGATTCATCTTTAATCATCTTTTATTTAAAGAAATCTCAAAAATATTTAACTAATTTATGTAAAAGTTTTGAGTAATATAGACCAAAATAATACATTTTGTTTACAAATTCAATCAAATTATTAAAGTTTGGTGCACAATAACATAACATTTTTTGCTGGGGAACTCAATAAAGACTTAAATTAATAGGGAGTTCAAAATTCGCAACTGACTGGCTGGCATCCGAATATGCCGCATCTTTTACACAACGCTCCCGAAATAACAAGCGATGAACAGCGCGTCCCTCACGCGTGCATGTGGATGCCACACACACCACCCACGCACACACCCACACCCGTAGAACTGCCACACACACCACCCACACACACACCCATAGAAACGCCACACACTCACACCCACAAACACATGCACAGAAGACGCGCTGCGTTCATTTTGCGCCTTATCTGCGGTCGCAAGTGTTGCGCCATCGCAGCCCGAGTGCCTGAAATTATGCTAATTTCTGGGTTTTTATGCAGCCAACATGGAGCAGCAGCGGGAATCTGCATCCTCATGGCCGAATCTCCTCCAGCTCCTCCAGCTGCTGCGTGTTGGCTGTTGGTTGTCGGTCGCCGGTTGTTGCTTGTTGGCTCTTGCTGCTCCGGCTGTGCATTTTGCGGTGAAAGCACTGGCAAAAAGCAGGCAGTTTTGGAAATTAATCGTAGAAATTAATAAATTAATAAACAGGTCATCGGGAATCTATTAAGATTGAATATCAGCTAAATTAGCAAATATAATATTGAAAGATTTTACTAAAAAATAGGGTTCGGAAAACAAAACAATCACCATCGATAGCCAAAACCATCGATGGTGTCCACAATCGATATTATCGATAATCATAGAAAAGCCATATAAGAGTTCCAAGTTTTAAAACCATCAATAGTATCGATAGTGCTATCGATTGTTTTATTATTTTTATTAAATATTAAATAGTAAATAAATTCAAACATTTTAGAACTTACTTTTAAATAATTTTCACAACTTAAAAAAAATATTTCTAGCATTAACTGTCGAATTCCCTTCTCAGAGTGCATCGAAAGAACGATGAATTTTACGGCGTAGAGGGGTTGGCCTGCTGATAACGCAACATTAATAACACCCTCATGGCTGGCTTTCTCTTACTTGATGATTGAAAATCCCGAAAACTGCGCCCGCGCCCCAAAGTATGCAGCACTCATTTACTTATCAGGCGAGGGAGTTGGCTCTGCAGAGCCGCCACTTTGCCCCGTATTTGTGGCACATTTGGGAGCTAAGCAGACAAAAAGTGTCCGAAAGAGGAGTCAAGCATCTGCTGCCCCTTCGCCATCGCCATTGCTACTGCCATTGGTCTTGTTGTGGCCAGTGTTAACATAAAACTTGTGCAGCGATAAACCCTTGGCCCGCCCAGGACATTGTCCAGCCGAACATTTGTTAGCCCAGCCTCTCAGCTCTGGGCCAGCTTTTGGGCCATTTCTGAACCCGACTAGGGCAGATCCTGCTGCATATTCAACGCCTTTTCCATTTCTCTTTGCTCGGCCAGCGTTTGAAAATTTCAAATTTCTTTCCCAGGCTCTCCAGTGGCTACTTACAGTCTCGACGAGCCTTGCCCTATTTCGCAATTGCTGATTTTTTCACAGGGTAGCCGTAGTTACAGGGCATATCAAGATCTATGTTTTTACCAAACAAGATTCATGAATAACAACTATGTTCCCAACTTTTTTAAAGTACTTTCACTATATTAAACTCTTTAAATTTAATAAACCTTAAAATATTATTGGTTTTTAATTGAATTGTATTACAACTCAAATAAGAACTAGATAGCTTAATATAAAATTATAAATTAAATTTATGAGTGACTAAACTAATGTATTTTCTGTCGTTACTAGAATTTTTAAGCAAAGAGTTAATGAATATTAAAAACGTATGTAAAAAAGAAGAACCAAACACGAAAATACAAATTAAGGTATGTTTAAAAATTGTTTCCTTTATTTGTGGTTCTTAAGTTAAAATTTTAATTGACTCAGCATATCAAGGTATCTAGGTATCGTAACAGTAGATTTTTTTCTCTTCGTAGTAAAGGTAGTTTGATACACGAGTGTTTGGGAGTGCAGTTGTTGAAACAAACACATGAAACGTTGCCGAGTACAGGATGCATACCTCTCTACCTTTCCCAAACAAGTGTTTGGTGTTCAATCTCTCGGTTTAACTCGACAAACATGCTAGCATGGTAAATAAGGCAATGCATACGATTTGGAACATTCATCGCCTCAGTGGAAAAGCGTATTTCCACTTAATAAAAAATGTGGGAATAAAAAGTAACTTTTCAACAGGCTTATCAGCGACCACCGGGGTGATGAGTTAATGAATTCCAACCGTAATTACCCGGCCAAGGGGAGTGATTACCCGAAAGAGGACCGACTCGGCCGAAATGTTATGACCGCCGACCAAGGGATCCTTTTAATTATTGTTCATAACTGGCGGATGCAACTTTATCTTGTTTATTTCGCGCATATTTTTCGCTTTTTCTCGTCCATTTAAATATTTCAGCTGCGGTAAAGTTTCGATTGTGTTTGCAGTTTTTCCGCTGAATATTTACCCAATTGATACTGCCCCGGCAATTGGTCTTTGTTTTCCATTTTTGAGTTGTATTCCGATTGCATATTTAATTGATTCATTTCTTTTTGGCCGTTATCCCCAATTAAGTCAAGTGTGAAGGAATGCTTTTTGCGTATCTCTTGAGTTAGAAAACACAATTTTAGGCAAATCAAGAAAAAGGTTTCTGATTTTTAGATAGATAAAATATGTATTTATGACCTTGAACGTATTTAAAATACGAAATCAAAACACAAATTGTAAGAAAAAAAGAAATGGGTAAAGTAATGATTAGTATGGAAAAGAACACTTTCACTAATAAAAAGAGATTTTACAATAACTTTGAATGTTTATGTTTCATGACAGGCATATGACTGACATATGTATGTTCTAGATCAATCGTCTTTAATACGAAAGTAGAGAATATATATTTTATATTTCTGTGCCCAGATGCAATGCCTAAAGTTGATAACCTTTGCGGGGGATTCGTCCTCCACCCTCGTTTCAATGCGTCAACGTCTGTGTCTGCTTCGCTTGTCATGCATTTTACGCATGAGAAAGTATTTTCAGTTAACAAGTGCGAGGGTTGAGCCGGGCTCCGCAAAAAGTATCCCCAATGCAGAAGTGCACGAGGAAAGCCCCATAAAAATAAATCGAATTGGGGCGACGGGAGCGGGTCTGTCGTCGGGATAACAAACGATGCTCCATGCCAACGGAGTGGGCGGAGTGCGGTGGAAAACGCAAGTTGGGTTTGTTTATGGCGCGATACGAATGACACGTGACTGGGAGACACCAGACAAGCACCGGCAGCGCCAGACGCTCGCAAAAATTATGAAATTTAGCGCAAGCCGCAGAGCTGGAGTTGCAGAAAAAATACATTGTACATGGGTCTCACTCTGTGACAGCTTTGCCATATCGCACCTGCCGCACACTCACCATCGCAAAGGGAAAGGTAGGGCAAAAACTGACGGCCAATGCGCTTAGCACTTTCATTTCGTTTGCTGCAAATTGCTTAACCACAATGCATATGTATGCAAAGCACTGACGCGTACCTTGCACTGAGAGAAAATACTGTTTATTGTAGGGAGTCGAGCGATTCATTCCACATATTTAGTAAATATTTCTGTAATATCATTGAAGGGATGGTAGGGAATCCGATATTTAAGAATTTACTTGCTGGCACAAACTCGAGATGGAAATTAAGTATGGCTAGTACCGAAATTATTGAATCGCTCTTTGAATAACTTACCAGGATTAATTTATAAAAATCATTTTTATAGCCCTGCAGAGAACTTAATGATTTCAGTTAAAAGTCCGTCCGTTTCTACGCAAACTAGTCACTCAGCTTAAAAGCTATCAGAATGAAACCTTCCCAAAAGTCTTATTTCTATTGCAGGTAGTTTATAAGTCGGAACGACGGATGGGACAATTATATCATATAGCTTCCATAGGAAATTAAAAAAAAAACTTTTTTTAAAGTTATTACATACATATTAACTTCTACTCTTAGGAATATCGTTCTATTAATGTACCAGAATACCAAAACACATTTTAAACAAGAAAAGAATTTAACTTCGGCAAGCCGAAGTTTGTATACCCTTGCAGTTATAATTATTAAATTGAACTCGAAATTCTTAAAAATACAAAAAATTATATTTCCAATGGTATAAGATAATATGTCAAAAAACACCGAAGCTATCATTTCTTTCATTATACAACAACTATATGATATGGTCGTCCGATTTTGACACAATTAAATTCAAAATTCAGAACTAATCAAAAAATGTTATT